ATATTATTACCTGGAACATATACTTTAAAGGTAATACAAAACTAGTACAAAAAAACAGTTAGCACAATCTCTGTGGAATTAAAGTTTGAAACGCAATGTAATTGTTCTTGTTAATCTTAGAGAGAAGATTCTATTCTATCCATTATAGGATACATATCTTCACTATTCTCTTAATTAATTCTTGAGAAATACAATAACGAATGTTAGTGATATGTGATCTATCACACGGAAAGGAAGAAGGAGTGATTGCAAATGTCTACACTATATACTTCAGCAGTTCTTTTAGATTGTGTTTCACAGAATTGCATAAAATAAAGATATGCTCAGAAAAATTAATAGATCATTAACGTTCGATACATAAATTGTCAATTGTCTTTTTCTCACAATTTTTCTATCATTGAACTTTTTTTCTTATATTTTATATAATATATTTTAGGTACTATATAAAGGTATTCAAATTCATAGTCGAGAAATAACAATTCAAAATTCATTATCGCCATTAAATTTAACAATTATTATTTCATCTTCGACTTATCTACCTTATATAAATATGACAACTACAACAGCAACAACTATACGAAGTGTAAAAAGTTCATCATCAAATATTTTCATAAACTGGAAGATTTCATTATCACTGATATTTTTATTTATTTACTTTATTCTCATAAACGAGAATTAAAAATAAACTGAAATAAAAATTGGCAATATATTTTTATTTTTCTGTATTAAGCATGATTAGGACCGGGTAGAACAATATCTAATTCATTTAATTGCATTAATAACTCTAGATTATTATGAATTTCATCAGATGACATACAATGACCCATTATATAAAGATGATTAGGACAACAACGAAGTTGATCATTTGGACATGGAAGAGTTTTATTAACTAAATAAGTTTCAATACGATTTTCAGCTTCTAACCAACTTTCTGAACACCAAACTGTACAACGACTCGTCTGTAAAAAACCACATGGAGCATAGCCACATTTATGACGACCCTGTCGAACTACCTAAATAAATAAGAAATGAATTTTGTTTTTTTGAATGATTTTATTTTACATAGTATGTTATTTGTCGAGTTTGTGGTATCAATTCGATTTTAGGTTCAATTTTACAACACCAATTTTCAGCTACATCAAATATAACATTTTTTGTTAATTGATTTTCAGCTATTATTGATAAAAAAATAATATTTATAATAAACAATATTTTAAACAAAGTCATGTTGATTGAATGAAATATTTTTTAATGATTTCATTTTCCTTTTATTCATAAATATTAACATATGTCATTTTTTTCTCATCACATCATATATATTTTTTTTCTTTAATCAAGATTAGAAATGTAAGTCGATCAGTTTAGTCATCACCGAGATATAAAAATAGATGCAAAGTTTTTCTTTGTAGAAAATTTTCGATAATTAGGATCAGTTGTCAAGGATGTTCTTATCATCATTGTCTACATTTGTTCACATTCAAAATTTCATGAGATTCAGGAAACTAAAACAAAACAAAATTGAAAACTTTCATTAGCTGTTGCCATCGATTAATGCAACTCTACTGAAGATCTACAGAAAAAAAAACACTGTTCGATATGTATACATTCTTTTTTCTTTTTATTAAGAACATTTATCATTCTATAACATATTCATTAGAATTTTTATGGCTTACATATACAAGTAATCATTTACAGTTACAATTCTTCATTTTCTTTTTGCTTTTTCTACCAATCGTTTTCAAATTTTTTTTCTTTTTTTTTTTTTACTGACACATAAGAATAACAACAACCTATAGATTGGTATGTTTAACTTGCATAAACAACAACAGCAACCGTTTCTATTTAATGGCATTATCATTCATCATCAATTTAACGAAAGGTGTCTTTGACAGTCGTTTTTCTTTTCTTTCTTTTTCATTAATACAGTTAAAAATAAAAAAAAACGGCGAATCGTACAAATTTTTTAACAAGTAAAGCGTTACAACAACCATCAAATGTTAGTTTTGTTGTTTCGCCGTCACGAAATTCGACATTTACAACAAAACGTGTACATCAACAACCAACAACAAAATCATCATCATTAAACAAAACATCGAACACAATAAAAGGTGAGCATCTACCACCCATACGACATCATCAAAGAAAGAGTACATTTCGACAATATTCAACAAACAATTTGACTTCAAAACGTGTTGTTCAGTTCTTATTGAAATATAATAAGTATCCAATAAAACCAACTAAAAAATATATAACTAAATCAATGAGTACTACAACAACAGCAAAAAAACCGGTTCCAGTTGTTTCAAATAAAACACCATCACAATCCGCAAGAAGAAGTTCCAATGATAGTGATAAAAGGGTATGAAAATAAAACTTCAATCAAATTTTTTTTTGGTGTTTCTATTTCTAAGAATTTAATTTAGGTTCGTAAATTGTGGTGGTCACCTAGACGAAATGAAGTTGAAATTCGTTCAGAAAATGATAGTCGTTATAAAAATGTTTCAGCAAAAGTGAATTCTTTAGCCAATCGTGACTATCGTCCTGGAGGTGGTCAAGTATCTATACGTGATGAACCTAAACAATGGCAAGCACAATCAAAAGTAAATTCATTGGCTAATGCTAATTGGGCACCTCCACCACCACGTGTTAATGTTAAAACGGAAAAATTACAATGGAATGCTCAATCTAAAGTTGATTCAATGGCTAATATTGATTATAAACCTGCTGGTGGTGAAAATATAGCGATTCGTGATGAAAAACTTGACTTTGCTCATATTACACCACGTGTTGATTGTGGATTTGTTGATTAAATAGATGCCCTACTTTATAGTTAGATGTATATTTTTTACAACAGATTTGCTAAACAACACTATTGAAAATTAAATAAAATATTTTTTTTTTTCGAAAGAATAACATTATGTTTTTGTAATAGAATAATTGTTAAGTCTCTCATAAAGAAGCATGATTTTATTGTAATCATTGAATGCATATTAAGTATATTTAAAAAAATTGAATTCGCGTTTTTTCTTACTTCATTTTTCATAAAAAATAGAAAAATATTTTTTTTTTATCAATTATCTTCTCTCGTGAAGAGTCATCAACATATTTATAGTTTATCATTTTGAAAAATATTTTCATTTTCGTTAATTAAGAATATTAAACAACTAGAATCGACACATGAAAATGAAACAGACATTTTTTTTAAATCATTTAATCAACATAAAATTACTTTAAAAAATTAAGAGTATAATACTTATTCAAACTGTTTCTCTATCATATTAAATTAATAATATGCTTCAGTCAGACAAGAATCAATAAAAAAAAACAATTGTTTACATGTTACAATGTGCGCTTTTTACGTTGCAAAAAAAAAACGTTTTTTTTTTTTGAAAAATAAGCGAGTTTGAAGATGATGGTGGCCACAGACTTGTTTTTTAAAAAAGTAAAAGTCGTTTTTTTGTCAGCGTAAAAAGAGCACATTTCAACGCATTGAAATGAGCCCTTATCTGTCTGAATGTTATCAATTACAAAGATAAAAACTTGAATTACTATTCCACTTCAAACTATTTTTCATCAAATTAACGTATGAAAATATTCTTGACCTGTTTTGTTTTTCGCATAGTGACTTCAACAGAACTATGGACGAAACTAGCATTGAAATAGAATAGTGGTCTTCTCGATATATTGTTTTCTTATTTGAGGCCTTCCGTACATTTGATGTAGTTCGACAGAAAAAAGTTGTACAAAGCTCGATGAGACGCCTCACTTTGTACAGCATGATTTGCTCTACCTTTTGAGCATCCTATGTTTTACCATCTCTTTTCAATCTAGATTTTGTGAAACTCTTGATACAAGTAGTAAATACTATCGTCGTTATATGTCATTTTTGTTGTCAGAAAAACATTTTATTTCAAAAGAATACGACATTCGTGATTTTTTTCAAACTTATCGGTTTAGTAACTCATGTTTTTCGAAGATGAAGCATAACATGAAAACGAAATATTTTCTTATTGATTGGTAGTTTATGAAGTTCAATACAAGATATGTTTTCTCTATATCTTGTAATCGTTATACATATGATAACTCCAATAAACATAGGAGGAGGGTCAGAAGACTAAAAAAGATAAGTAATATTATTTAGAAAATTATTCTTCTTTCTATTTGTAAATCACTCAAATCAAGCTAAGACGAGCTTAATTTCAACGGAAAACATTGATGAGAGTCTACAACTTCTTAGATTTAACTAGATTTGAATTAGAGTCAAAAGTAAGTTAATATATTGATTCTTGATTCTCATCTTTTTCGATTTTTTTAAAGGTTTTAACCTTTTCAAACCTCGTTTATTTTGCCTGACATTTATATTTAAATCATTTTTCCACTTAATGTAAATTTTTTAGGAAAGCTAAAGAAGGGATTGAGTACCGTTTATTGAACATTGTTCAACATATTTGTTAGTAACACCATGCAAAGAAATATTTTTCATTACGTCATCATATTAGAATATTTTTAATAGTATTCAGAACTTTTTTCAAAGTGGTGTATTGTATCAAAACGGTTGAATGCTTTTAAATCCTCTAAAAACTGACAGAATTCAGTCGATTTGGATGCATGCAGATAATATTGATGCATTTGAGCTGCCTGTACTAGTCATAGAGAGCCCAACTCGACCCCAATTTCCACATGAATCTTTATTCTTGATGGTGCTGCAAAAATTTTTTATGAGTGAAATATATTCCAAAGCTGTTGTTTTTATCGATGAATTTGAATATGGGTACAGAACATTGTCTGCAATCGTTTAGAGTTGGAACCAACAGTCGTAAGCGTTACTTCGAATAAACATATGACATGGGAAGTATTCTATGGCACAAACGCCCTCTATGATATACTTGTTCTATTTGATTGTTGAATATCTATACTTAACCATACCATGGTCGTGAGACCCATTCGTCGTTAAAAGATAAAAAAAATGCATGTCATGATTGTAAAATAAAAATAAGACATATTTTCGAAAGATGAATTAAGTCTTACAAAATTACACCATAGATCTATATAAAATGTGCATTCTTTAGTAAAGACAAGATTTATTCTTTCGTTTAATAATACAATTTAAATGACATCAACTTTTCTTGTTTATCCATCAGAACCAACGGGTAAGAATCGTCGTATTGAACTAGCTGGTCTTGATCTATGGAGAATGGCACGTATCGATAATGTATTTGTTTATCCATCTGAAATCAAAATCGATTGTTTTAATGAAGCACTCAGTCGTACATTGTCTCTATGGCCACTGATAGCTGGTCGTTCTTATTTAGATGATAATAAAGATTATTTTATTGAAATGTGTGATAATCCTATTCCAGTAACATTAACTAAGAATTATGATTTAGTTCAATGGCCTTTTGATTCAAATGTAATAATAGATTTCTATAAACATTCTCTTTCAATATATATTGATGAAGTTCAAGTGACCAAATTATTTGATAATACACAAAATGAACCACTTGTACGAATTAAATTAACACATATTATACAAAGTAATGAATGGATATTAGGTATAAGTTGGATACATGAATTAGGTGATGCTTATTCTTGTTTACAATTTTTACATACTCTTTCTCATTTATATCAACGAATGGAACCATGTGAATTAACACTTATATTTGAAAGACGTTTATGGAAATCTGATGAAGTTTATCCATCATTTTTACCTCTTATGAAACATTTAACAGATGCTAAATCATTCGAAGAAATGTGGAGAAAATTTATGATTGATCAACAATCATATGATCAAGTTAATCTATGTTTTTCTAGTGAACAACTTATAAAATTAAGAATTTTAGCTGGTGGAAATAAAATAACAATTCAAGATGCACTAACAGCTTATATTATTCTTACATTGAATACATATTGTTATGATCAAAATGATGAACGTCATATTCTTTATACAAATACATCAGTTAATTTTCGTGGTGTATCTAATTCTATTGCTTCACATCATCAAATAGGTAATTGTATATTTATGATGTTATCAGATAAGTTTGAAGATTCATATTCATTATCAAGTATTGCAAAAACAATTCGACAATCGATTATTAAATCACGTGATTCAAAATTTCTTGAATGTTGTTTATCGACAGCTGATGACGCAATGAGAAAAATGATTCATAATAATCGACTTGCTGATTTAGGATTTCATCGAAATGAAATTATAGTTAATTCAAATTTAAGATATGATTGGTCTAATTTAGTTGATTTTGGTTATAAAGATAAATGTCGATTTTATACAGGATGGTCAGGTGCATTTTATTTACGAGTATTTCGTCTTAATCCAATATATAATGGAAATGAATGGTTGCCAAGAGATAGAAATGGAGCTGAAGTTATATTTCGAATAGAAAAAAATTTAAAAGAAAATTTTATGAATGTGATAAAACGAGATATAAATGAAAATTTTAAAAATGTAAAAAATTAAACTCTCACTGTGTTTTATTCAATATAGAATAAGATGATAATAAGTTTATATTTTTTCTATTTCCACTATGTTCTTTCTGAAATACATCAAAAACCCGAAAAATTGTTCAAAAGATTAAACATATAAAGAAGACTGAATGATAATCATTAGGTAGCATAGGTAAATTGATCAGTTAAAAATAAGAAAATGGTATATGTTTGAATGCGATAATTGTAAATAATTTCAAGTAAATTTCGGATGTTTCTAATTTTCTATATGAGCTTTAAATACGTTGAAACATGAACAAATGATATGTAATAAAAAAAACAAGGAAAGAACTCACAGGTATATATCTTTATCATTAA